TTGGACATCCAGGGTTAGAACACTAAGCCAGTCTGAAGCCAACTGGGCATACAGCAGGTGCTCAGTCGATGCACTGATGGATTTCTACCATGCAACCGCCGGACAAACCGTATAGAACGGAATGCAAGTGTGCCGCTGATGGGGTACCAGGCAGAGCTCCAAAGACCTTGAGTCCAGCTCAGCTTCGCTCTGACTGCCCCCTGCTCTTGGCCTGGCACCTCTCCCCACGCCCGCACCCCTCAAGTCATCCGTGGCCGGGACCCTGCGGACAGGGTCCTGCTTGCCTCTCCTTTTCCACCCGGCTCCGCATGGCTGCCTCTTCCAGGGGGCAGCCGCCAGCATATTTAAACAGCCCTCTCCTGCCGCTCCCTTACACTCTGGCACGTCCTTTGTTTTATTTTCTTCACGGAACTTATGACAATCTATAAATATCTTGTTAATTTGGTACCGCCGCCTCCCATCCCCACCCCCACCAGAATGTAGGTCTCACTCACTCAAGTGGCCCTGGCTCCCAGAGCTGCGCCTGGCCTCCAAGGGCTCGCGCTGAGGTGCCCCCACCGTGCCCAGTCCCTGAGCTGTGCCACTGCTGTGGTGTCGCCAGCTCCTGCCCCATCGACCTCAGGGAAGCCTCCCTGACTCTAGCCCTCCCTGTGGTGGCCTCACTGCTGGCGGCGGCGAGGGCTGCCGTTCCTCCCATTGGTGATGCGTGGCCAAGGGCGGGTTACCCTCGGCACACCCCAGCACCCAGGCCCGGGATCAGGGTTGGCGGTGGCGGCGGGGCAGAGCAGAGCTGGCACCTTCACCCTCTGGGCCCACCAGGCACGCCCTCCTGCCCCCGCCCACCTGGCCGGCCCCCCACTCACCCTCGCTGAGAAAAGCGTCCCAGACACGCAGCACCGTGGGGAAGGGCAGGGAGCGGGCGAAGAGGCACAGGAACCACTCGGGCAGGTAGAGCAGGGGCCCGACGCCCACCTTCTGCAGGTGCTTGTGCACACGTGGGAGCAGCCGTCGCAGCAGGGCCATGAACACCTCGGCGTCCAGCCGCACAGCCTCCTGCGGCCACGTCCATCAGCACCACGACCCCAGGCCCCGCCCAGTGGCCAGGCTCCCACCCCCCAGCCCGCTCTCCCCCTGTGCCCTCGGGGCCCATCCCAGCCTCTCACCATGTGGGGCCCGTAGTAGCCAGGAAGGTAAACCTCGCAGATCTGTACCAGGCACCAGAAGGCCTCCTGGGGGCGGGCACAGGCCTTGAGTGCCCACCGCAGAGGGGACCGCAGGGGGAGAGGGGCACAGGGGAGGGCCTGGACACCATCTGGGGTGACTCTGGAGCCGGGAGCCTGGTCTCAGTGCTGGGGGTGGGGTTGTGAGGGGTGGGTCTTACCACAAAGCTCCCCGTTGCCTAGAAAGAGGCCTACCAAGGGGTGTAGGGGTAGGAATACAGGGCTCAGAGGGCTGAATTTGAGGGTTGCAGGGTGGGGGCTCACTGGTCAAGGGAGTGGAGGTCCCAAAGTTCAAGTCTTAGGTTCTTGGGGTCATTGGGGTCAGGGATCATGGTCACAGGGTTCAGAATCAAGGGTCATAAGGTCAAGGTGATAACATCCAGACTTTTAGATCATTGGGCCAAAGGTCAGGGGTCAGGGTTCGATGTTCCTGGAATCAAGGTCATTGGGTTTGGCCGTCACTGAGGTTGGCAATCATGAGGCCCTGGCTCACTAGGACAGGTTTGCGTGGGACTTGAGGATCCTAGGTCCCAGAGGCCAGAGTTCCGGGGGACGGACGGGGGCGGTGGTCACGGTCCAGGGCACAGGTTGCCTTGGCCCCTGGGTCACTGGAGCTGGGGGTCCAGGGTCTCAGGTAACTGAAGTCAGAGTCCCTGGGGGTGGGCGTCTTGGTCTGGGGTCCCTGCCACGGGGCTGAGGGCACTCACCTCCGGGGGCAGGTGCATGAGCAGCACGGCGGCCACAGGGCCCTGGGCCTGGCAGTAGCCCTGCTCCGGCCGGTACAGGGTGTAGGCCTTCAGCACCTGCAGGAGCCCCTGCTGCCTGTGCCAGAAGACCCGGTCAGGGGCCAGGCCTCCGGGCATCCCTCCCATACCCTCCGGCGGCCCCTGCCCAGGCCTCGGCCCCTCAGGGGCCTTGCTGGGTCCTCTGAGATGCAGAGACATCAAGCCAGGGTCAGGGACTTGGCCAAAGGATTGGACTCGCCTGGGGATTGGGGGCTGGGGGTCCCTGGGCATCTCCGGCCTCGTACCCGTGACCCTGGGGTGACACAAACATCTCATGCAGCGGGAACTGACGGTGCAGGTCCCTGCCGATGGTTTCCATCCACTGCGGGTCTCCCGGGGCCTCAGCCAGGTTCTGCAGGTGGGCAAGAAGGTGGAGGTGAAGGCCCAGAGGGGTGAAGGGCTAGGGGAGGAGGCTGGGACCCCCGCCGGTCCCCTCACCTGGTAAGTGCCAGGGTTGTTCTTCTGACACACGTGAGCCCCGCACAGAAGGGGCCAACACCGGGCCCGCAGGGCCGAGGGGATGCCTTTCCGGCACTGCATCTTTACCTGTGGGTGAGGCCAGGGCACCCCGTTAGGCCAGCCACGCCAGATTCCCCTGCTCCTCTCAGCAGGCCTCAGGCACAATCTACTATCGGGCAAGAGTCTCCGCGAGAAGCAAGGAACGAAGGCAGGAGGTGCTGGGACACAGGAGGCTGAATTTTGCCAGGCAAAGGGGGACGAGTCAAGGAGGCCCGCGTGGGACCGCTCTCCCCTCACCTTCTTGTACCGCCGAGACATGGTTTTCTCCCAGTGTGAAGTCATCTCCACCCACTTCATCTCCCGCTGGCGGATGAGGTCTGCAGGAGGGTGACCCGGCCTGGGGATACACGGCACAGATGTCCAGACATGGGACAGCCACATCCACCACCTTTCCGGCTACCTGGGTGAGCCCAACTCTTGGCCCTGGAGATCTCTGGAAATCTCTGGGGTGGGGAGTGACCTGTCACCCAGGAGTTGCCAGTGGTTGTCATGGGGACAGGAAAGGATGTGGCTCCGATGTGGGCGGTAGCAGGAGACACCGAAGAGGCTGTGTAGGTGTGTGTTGGGGGAGGGGCTGGTTGACTGTCCCCCAGGACGGGGACACAGACAACTCATCAGGGAAGCTGAGTAGACAGAGCCCAAGAGCTAGAAACCAGGAGTCTTCTCTGAGCCTGATTCTGTCTCTGATGGCGGTGTGACCTCCCTATCTTATCTCCGAACTTGTCTTCCCATCAGCACCTGGGGAAGGGGGAGGACTGGTAGGGGAAGAAGTATGGGCTCTATGACCTCGGGATTCCTGGGCCGGATTGAAAGGAGAAGCGGGTTCAGCCCCTCTGGGAACCCTCAGAGACTGGGAGGAAGAGACACACAGGGACCCACCCCCCACAGCCCTGCTAACCTTAAGATTCCATCTAGAACCCGAAAACAGGTGATACTAGCAGAGTCCCCAGACCCTTCGAGGACCCTTGAGGTTGGGCCTCACTCTAGAATTCAGCTCTCAGCCTCCACCATCAGGCCCAGCACCCCGTAATCTCCTCATCCCTGCCCCACTTACCCTGGCTCTGCTGCACTGCCCCCAATGAAGCCGTAGCGGTCAGCCTGGCGATACGGGCCAGGCCCGCTCAGCTCTGAGTCGGACCCCAAAGAGCTGGAGTCATCCTGCAGCTCGCTGGGCTGCGCCAGGTCCTCGCCCAGGGCCTGGGCCATGGCGCCACCAACCCCTGGTGCCACAGGCTGCAAGATGTGGGGACAGCCAGTGTGAGCGGGGGCTCCTGGCCAGCCTGGGGCCGGGCGCCTCTTCAGCTAGGCCTCAGCCCCAGGACCTGCCCACTTGGTCTAAGAGGAGAGGCTGCAGGGTATCGCACCACACCCCTTCGGTCCCCTCTCCTCTTGTGGGGTGGGGGTGGGGCACAGGTCCAGATGGTGCAGAAAGACCAGGCCCCCTACTGGAGACCCAGGCCCAGCCCCTGTCCCCAGCAGCCCAGCTTACCTCCCTGCTGCACCTCACCTCCTCCTCTCACTTCCTCCTTAGCCACAGCTTCAGCAACGCTGGGGGCCCCTCCCAAGTGCGTGGGGGGGGGGTACCCCTTCCTCTCCAGGGCTCTTCCGGCCTGCCCCAGTGGCCCTGGGCCATGGGCTCCTCCCACCACCCCGGTGGGCTGGGTGGGTGCAGGCCTGGGTTCTTGTGCTGGGTGTGATGCAGCCAGCCCCTGCCAGAGACAGAGAGGCCACGCCGCCTCCAGATGTGAGGTCACCGGCAAATAAAATACTCAATTCAGGGTTCCAGTGAGCATTACGCTTTATTTAACGTTTCCTCTTTTGTTAATGCTTTCGACAAGTCAAACAGTAAGGCATTAACTGCGCTACTCAAAACACAAGGATGAGACATTAAAAAATAATAATGATGTAGCATGCACCATAGGCAATGGGGACCAAAATGAGCTCGGAGTTCAGTGACAGGTGTCTGGGTCTGGTCAGCCGTCTGCAGGCCACAGGGACCCTAGAGGTAAGAGTTCCTCCGTCAATCTGAAGACAACCCTTGCTATCTTTGAGCCTGTTTCCTTTCCTGCACTTCGTGGACTTAATCTGCACTCTTTGGAGAGACCCAATGAGATACCAATGAGGTCAAAACACCTTCCAGCCCGGGGCAGAAGTGGGAAGAACTATTGGGCCCTTGAAAGAGAAAAACAACTTCACACTATTTCCGGCCGCACATCCTCGGTGCAAGGGTGGGTAACTCCTCAAGGGCGGAACTAGAGTCGACCTCGCCCCGTGCAGCTCCGCCCCCGTGCAGGCTCCGCCCCGCCCACCAGGTCAGCCGAGCCCCGCCCCCTGGCCTAGGCCCCGCCTCCCGGGCCGCCTCAGGCCCGGGGCCTGGCGTCCAGCGGAGGCGCTAGAGCGCAGGGGAGGTGGGCGATCGGGCGGACCGGGGCGGGGCCGGGTCGGCGGGCCGGGGCGGGCCCGGGCGGGCGGAAGGAGCACCAGGCCGGAAGGAGGCCGCGGGAGGGCGGGAGGCAGGACTGGGCCCGGAGGTGCTGGGCCAGAGCGGCGGCGCCGCCATGTCCGACAGCGAGAAGCTCAACCTGGACTCTATCATCGGACGCCTGCTGGAAGGTTGGCCGGGGCGGCGAGGGAGGTGGGCGCCCGCCGCGCCCTGGTCCCCTGCCCGGCCCGGAAGTGGCGCGCGGGTGGACCTGCCCCTCCCAGGGCCAGCTTCGACTGGGCGGGGACGGACCGCGAGGTCCCGTGGCCACATTCGTCCCCCCCCCCCCCAACCCCACCCCAGTCGCGGCGCGCTGGGCGGTCTGGGGTTGCTCCCCGTCCCAGAGTAGGCTCGGCGGGGGCTGGGGGGTGGTGCTTAAGGATTGGCCTGGGCTCTTGGCTGAGGGAGAAACCCGAGAAGCCTAGTGCCCCAGGAAGGGGTCCTGTGCTTGGAGGTTTTGGGTGGCCTCTGTGCACAGCAGTCCCCTCGCGAGCGCCTTGAGGGCAGTTGGGGGTCCCAGGAGGCTCAGCAGGAACAGCTGCCTCTGGGCAAGGCGGGCCGGGAGGCCCAGGCGCCCCCACCCAGAAGTGCCTGTGGGGCCACCGATGTCATTCACCCTCTTCTCGCCTGAGGAACCTGCGTCCTGACGCCTCTTTCCGCCCCCAGTGCAGGGCTCCAGGCCTGGAAAGAATGTACAGCTGACAGAGAACGAGATCCGTGGTCTGTGCCTCAAATCCCGGGAGATTTTCCTGAGCCAGCCCATTCTTCTGGAGCTGGAGGCACCCCTCAAGATCTGCGGTGAGCCTCCAGCCCAGGTCCCCGTGGCCTCCTGAAAGCAGCCTTGCCTGCCACCCCCCCGCAAGTCCCTCCTCCCTTGGGCCCACCCCTGACCCTGGGTTCACGTTTAGGCTGCCCCTAGTGCTGACCTGGTTCCCCGGGTCCCAGGTGACATCCATGGCCAGTACTATGACCTTCTGCGGCTGTTCGAGTATGGCGGCTTCCCTCCAGAGAGCAACTACCTGTTCCTGGGCGACTACGTGGACAGGGGCAAGCAGTCTTTGGAGACCATCTGCCTGCTGCTGGCCTATAAGATCAAGTACCCAGAGAACTTCTTCTTGCTCCGTGGGAACCACGAGTGTGCCAGCATCAACCGCATCTACGGCTTCTATGACGAGTGTGAGTGGGCAGCGCGTCCGGGGCTGCCCTGGGCCTGAAGGGCGCTCCTTGCCATTCAGTGCGACCCTTGTGCTGACCTGGTGGCTGGGGTGTCAGCGTCTGACAAACACCTGCTAAGCTGAGCGCCGTGAAGGTGGCGCCAGCCCGTGCTGCCCTCCCCTGCCCTCCTAGAGCGGGTCCTGGCACTCAGGAGGGACCTGGCCGGTGGCTGCTGACTGAAGGGCTGCCAGGATTCTAAGGCAGGGCCTCACCTGCTGACACTCCCCTCTAGTGCATCCGGTACTTAAGCACTTAGGATGCCTGTCAGGACTGGACTCCTCTGTTAGCCAGAAGCCGAGATGAACCAGACCCCGTCTCAACCTGGCCCTGCTCTTGTGTTGGGGGTGGGTGCCAACCTTGAAGTCGTGCCAGAAGTGGAACTCTGGGGTTCCTGGGGACTCAGCTGCTTTAGAATTGTCTGGGAGGCAGTGGGCATCCTGGGAGTAGGGGGGCGGGTGTTTGGTTTCCTTTTTTGCCTTCTGTTCTCTCCTCCTAGCTGTGTCTGAACAACACACAATGTGCCCTGGAAGGCCTGGAGACCCGGGCTGAGGGTGGGGCAGAGAGGCCCTCTGATGAGCTGTCTCCTTCCCCCTGGGCAGGCAAGAGACGCTACAACATCAAACTATGGAAGACCTTCACCGATTGCTTCAACTGCCTGCCCATCGCTGCCATTGTGGACGAGAAGATCTTCTGTTGCCACGGAGGTGAGCATGGCTCTGGGCGTGTGAATGCTTGGGAAGGATGAGCCTCCCAGGGCGAGCACCCCTGGGGACCTCGGGACAGAGGCGTCAGCTGAAGATGTGTTCCCAGAAGCCAGGAACAAGTCTCCCTGGAGTCCTGGTATGGGTAGTACTTCTTCCACGAAGTCCCCCAGCGCTGCAGCATTAGGCTGCACCCACTGTCGTGTCATGGCTTTAGCTTCTTGCATGGAGTTTGCTTGTCCCCTTTCTCCAGGGCTTCCCTGGTGGCTCAGATGGTAAAGAATCTGCCTGCAATGCGGGAGACCCAGGTTTGATTCCTGGGTTGGGAAGATCCCCTGAAGAAGGGAATGGCTACCCGCTTCAGCTTTCTTGCCTGGACAGTCCATGGGGTTGCAAAGAGTCGGACACGACTGAGTGGCTAACACTTTCTCCAGGGAGCTGTGTGCTCCTTGAAGGGACAGGGACTTGGAAGAGGCAGGAGGTGATAAGTTCTGCCTGTGTAGGCTCCCAGGAATCCTGGAGAGGTGGGGGGCAGAGGCTGATTGGCAAAGGCTGCCTAGAGGAGGTGACCTGCCCCCTGTGCCCTCCAGGCCTGTCCCCAGACTTACAGTCCATGGAGCAGATCCGGCGTATCATGCGGCCCACAGATGTGCCTGACCAGGGCCTGCTCTGTGACCTGCTGTGGTCTGACCCTGACAAGGATGTGCAAGGCTGGGGCGAGAATGACCGTGGCGTCTCCTTTACCTTTGGAGCCGAGGTGGTGGCCAAGTTCCTGCACAAGCATGACCTGGACCTCATCTGCCGGGCACACCAGGTGGGCTGGCAGCCCCCCTGTCTGGGTGAGAGCAGGACTGGCAGCCAGCTCCTGCTGAACTAAACGCCTCCACCCTCATCCAGGTAGTAGAAGACGGCTACGAGTTTTTTGCCAAGCGGCAGCTGGTGACACTCTTCTCAGCCCCCAACTACTGCGGCGAGTTTGACAACGCAGGTGCCATGATGAGCGTGGATGAGACGCTCATGTGCTCCTTCCAGGTGGGGGTCGGGCTGGGGGCAGGTGGGCCCAGGGGCCTACAGCTCGGCCCCCTGAACCTGACCAGTTTGTCTCTTCTAGATCCTCAAGCCCGCCGACAAGAACAAGGGGAAATATGGGCAGTTCAGTGGCCTGAACCCTGGAGGCCGGCCCATCACCCCACCCCGAAACTCCGCCAAAGCCAAGAAATAGCCTCTGTGTGCCCGCCCTCTGCCCCAGATGGTGGATTGTACAGAAATCACGTGGCTGCAGGGGGCTCATGCTGGCCCCCCAGGCCCACCCATCACGGGGACCACGGAGGCTTGGTGTATCTTTCTTTTTTTATGAATCAGTAGCAGCATCCACTCCCCCAGGGCTCTTCCCGCTTGTACCTGCAGCGGCTGCAGGCAGGATCCTGGGGCTGAGGCTGCAGCTCAGGGCAAAGCAGGGCCAGACGGGATCTCCAGCCTTGCTTGGGCTCAGGGCTGGCAGCCAGATCCTGGGGCAACCCATCTGGTCTCTTGAATAAAGGTCAAAGCTGGATTCTTGCCATAGCCTCTGTCTCCCTTGTCCCAAACACTGGGCCTGGCAACCCTTCCACCCAGAGCCGCTTGGGAGGCTTGCTGGGCTTGGGGCCCCAGCCAGGAAAACCCCAGCCATATGCTCCGGCCCACAGGGGCCCTTGGAACTTCCAAGCCAGGGCCAAAGAGTTCGGGGAAAGCAAGCAAAACAGTGTGTGCCAGTTACAGGAGATCCCAGTGGTGCGCTCAGGATTTGAGGGAGGGGCAAGTCATGATTGGCAGAAGGTGGATCAGCAGGGGCAAAAGCCCCACAATGATTTTTTTTTCTTAGGGAGGTGGGCTTAGAGAAGGCAGTCCCCCAGTTCTGGCCACAGGGTTGGATTAAGAGGTGAGGGAACTCCCTGCAGAGGGCAGCTCAGCACCAAGACTGGGAAGAGACATGATCGATTGAGGGTTGAATGAATGATTGGGGGTTGAAGGGAAACAACAAGACCCAGGCCAGGCGAGGCCCTGGGGGAGGTGGCAGGACCAGTCAGCTCAGCTCCAGCAGGGCGCACCTCTACCACCCACCAAGGAGGAGAGCAGACCTGCCCTGGCTGGCCTTGGGAGAGGGGTGGGGTGGGGTGGGGCGGGGCTTCATCTGGCCCAGTCCTCAAGCACGGACTTCTCCGGCTCAGCCTTCGCCCTCACTGTCTTCAGCCAGCACAGGGCTGGGGCCCTGAGGAGAGTGTGCAGGGGTCAGGATGGAGCCAAAGAACAGCGAGCGGAACTGGCGAGAGAACAGAGGAAGCCGAATGAGCTCCGGAGGCTGCTCCCTCCCTCCGCCTCCCACACCAGCCCCTGCCTGTGTCTGACTCTGCAACCCCATGGACTGTAGCCCACCAGGCTTCTCTTTGTCCATGGGGATTCTCCAGGCCAGAATACTGGAATGGGTTGCCATGCCCTCCTCCAGGGGATCTTCCCCACCCAGGGACTGAACCCAGGTCTCCCGCATGGTTGGTGGATTCTTTCCGTCGGAGCCACCAGGGAAGCCCCTCTGCCTCTCGCCCCTACCTTCTTAGGCGGGGGAGTCCCAGGCACTGTGCTGGGCTCCATGTCATCCTCTTCCTCGTCTGAGTGGGGGCTGGAGCTACAGGGGCGCTGGAGGCCAGGTGAAAGGGAGATGGAGGGCAGTGCCCGGGAGCCCTCGCTGCCCACAGTGGTTTCCATGGCGATCATGTAAGAGTCCATGTCGTCGACAGCAAAGTCATCCAGGTCTAGGTGGGGCGTGCTACAGGCAGAGACAGTATCAGCCGGGGTACAGAGTCAGGGCCCCCCCTGGAGGGCTCAGCCAGGGACTGCAGGAGCCTAGTGACCACTGGTGACCTCTTGGTTTTATTACTTCCTGATTTGGTGGGAGGGGAAAGGATGGGGGGTGGCGTTTTAAGTGGCTGCTTCCGGGAGGGGGCTGACCTAGAATCCTTTCATCAGAGTTCAGGTAGAGGCCTGAGGGAGGCATCCTGGGGCCCGCTTCAGCTCGGCTGGGGGAGGGGAGCGGAAAGTCCAATGAGCTGGGCCACCTGGGGCCCAAGCCCCCACCTTCCCAGGGGACAGGAACTGGAGAGCACTGGGGCCCAGGGACATGCTGGGCGGAGGGCCAGGCCAAACTTCCTCCGCTTAAACTACGCTGGGCCCATCCTCCCCAACCCACCTGCCCTTTCAGCCACCTGCTTCCCCCATCCCAGGCAGCCCCCTGCCTCCCGGCAGCCCTTTTCCCTCCTTGGCTCGGGAGGAGGCCTCAGCCAGAGAAGGAAGCCAGCCCGACCGTGGGGACACTTCCCTGGGTGGGGGGATCTCTGAGTACAGCTGACCAGTGGGGCTGAGCCTGCAGGGCTGGAAGCAGGAGCACTGTAAGGGCTGGGGCTCGACAGGAAGTGGGGGTGGGGGGTGCGCAGGGTGGGGGTGCAGACGCTAGTAGTGGCAGGCTCCAGCCTGGGTGCACAGGGTGGGCGGAGCTCTCACCTGTGAGCCTGAAGCCGGGGCTCTGGTCGCTGGAGCTCCTCTTGGGCACGCAGGGTCTGGGGGTGCGAGTCCGGCTCCAAGAGTGTGGCCAGGACAAAGTGGCCGTCCAGCAGAGAGTCCTCGATGGCAAAGATGGCTGGCCTGGGCAGGTGACAGGTCCAGGCATGGTCAAGGCCCTTTGGCTTCTGGCACCCCAGAGCGCTCCCCTCCCTATCCCAAGGCTGGGCCTTACCTGCCCGGGGCATCGAAGTGAATGCTGAGGGACAAGTTGGCTGACTCTGCGAAGCTCAGGAGCCCCTGGGAAGGGAGAAGCAGAGCATGGAGGCAGGGCAGACAGGAGGGGTGGACGGGGCGGTGAGTGCGCGGCAGGAACCTCACCCGGAATTCCTTGAGGCAGAAAGTGATGGCCACCCCTTCCTGGGCCTGCAACTGCTGGAAATCCTCCTCTCCGATGCTCATCTCCGTCACCATGGCTTTGACAGCGCTGTCTGGGGGGGGGGGGGGGGGGCAGCAACAGAAGGAAGCCAGGCTCTGCCCCCCAAGCCCGTCTCTGCTCTCTGCACCACCCCCCACCCAGTCTCTGCTCTCTGCCCCAGGCCCCATCGGTCCCCTCACCTGCCTCCTCCTCTTGGTAGCTACGCAGGATGACCCTACGCCCACGGCCGATGCCCAGCGTCACTTCAGCCAGCGCGGGGGGGAAAGGCAGAACAGCCTCCACCAGGACCCTGTGAGGGGGGCACAGCATCACACCTGAGGCTCGGCCCCACCCAGCGGCTTTGCTCTCAGAGGACCTGAGGCGGGACAGCGAGGCACACCAACGTCCGAAGAGAACCAGACCAGGCCTAGCACGGCCCCGGGGTGGAGCACGGGAACAGCAGGACACGGTCCCTGGCTCATCCAAGGCTCCCAGGATGTTGTGGGAGAGCAGTCCTCTTGCAAAAGATGGAGGCAGACAAGAACAGGCTCACAGAAGGCAGCAGGAAGTTCAGGCGGTTTGGGCTGAACTGAACCAGGCAGGCGGCACCTGCCCATCCACGGTTGGGAGACCAGACCCACACTGTCCACATAAACACTGCCTTACAGACAGTCCACAGGTCCCTGTCTAGTAGAGACAGGCTGGTAAAGAGTTACAGGGGAAATAACACCTGGAATTTGCCTCAAGACAACTGGGACAGAAGTTGGTTATCTGCTTAATATGAATTTGAAATTGTCCATAAGACAAAGAGAAACCATCACTCGTTTTAAAAGAAAGAAAAATCCTCAAAACCCAGACCATGGATTGATTCCCTCTTTCTCTACCCAAAGGAATCCTGGGCAGTGCTATTTCAACACAACTCAGAAAAACAAAGTCAGGGCTCAAAGGGACCTTCAAGTTACCATATCCTGTGGCTACCAAAAGCAAAGAAACGTGAGACCTTGGGTTACTGAGTGCAAGGGGCACCCTGCACATGGGCAGGTGGGAGGGGAGCCCCTCCTCTCTGGTCTTCTCCAGGGACCTTGGCGTCTGCTGGGCTCCCCATCTCCCAGGCCCTGCATGGTCCCTGTGACTGCCCAGAACAGCTCCTCTCCTATAGCTGGTTATTCAGGCAGCCCTCCGGGACCTCCCTGTCCAGCCATGGCCTGAGGACCCCTCAGGGCTAGAACCCAGCCAGGTAGGAAGAGAGGCTGCCCTTGAATGGGGATCATCCAAGAAGGATGACCAGATCAGAGAAGGGTTACAAGTCCCAGAGCCACAAAAATTAAGGGACATTCAAAGGTGTTCAGGCCAGAGGAGACGTGAGGGCAAGCCAGAGACCTGTTCTTTGAAAGAGGAGCCAGAGTGGGTCTGGGCGGTCAGAAAGCCAAGTCAGACTTTGAGGTGGAGAATACAGACTCAGGAGACAGACAGGAACATGGAACATCTGCCCCGCCTAACTCCAGCCTCTGCCCTTAAAGAGCCAGTCAAGGCCCTGAAAGCAAACCCAGTCAGATGAACGCTTGGAGGGTCACAGATGCCCTGCAGGAAAAACAGAGGAGGTGCCTCCTTAAACTGACTCCTGAGGCCGAAAGAAGGAAGAGAAAAGCCTAGGGCTCAGCGTGCAACCAGGGGCGTGCTCACCTGGCTGGGGCACGGAGCACATGGGGACACAAGGCTGGGTCGAAGACGGCCTGCAGGGACTCGCAGTCCTGGAAGGACAGGTTGTGAGTCTTCCTCACCCCTGGATGGGCAGACAGGGTCTCAGTGGACTCGCCAACCTCTAATCCCACACTGCAAGGACCCCTGGGTCAGCCAGCTGCTCACTCACCATATTTGCAGTGCAGCTGAACTACCAGGCGGCTGCTCCTGTCATTCAGGGAAATGCAGCATTTCTCCACAGTCTTTTCCAGCATTGCCAGCGAGCGGAAGACAGACAGGAAGGACTAGGCGAGGGAAACACATCCACTCAGCATTGCGCCTCCACCAACTGGCTTTCAGGTCCAGTCCCCTTGGGCTCTGGCCCATCATGGGCTCAGCATTGTCACACCAAGAAGGGACCCTTCACACATGCAGATATCTGCACTCTTTCAGATCTTCGTTCGTGCTCTTACCCTGGTCTGGAATGCCTTCAAAAGACGTGCTTATCTTTCAAGGACCAACCTCAAAGTCATTTACTCCCTGCAGGTCCCTGGCAGATTCAGCTACCCTCTCCATGTGGCCCATTATCCCCATGGATGTCTCTACTCAGTCCTGGCCCTGCGTTCTGCACCGGATTGCTCCGGTATACATCTCTCCCCCTACAGGAACCTGCTGTGTGCCCCAGAGCAAACTGCACTACGGGGAGGGGTTCCTGGGGGAGTGCCCTGCTACTGCTGAGGGACCCGCCTCACCTTCATCAGGATCTTACAGCGCAGCTGGTCCTGACCAGGGGTGGCCGCCTGGTACTGCTGGAAGAAGAGGGGGGCAAAGAGGAAGCAGGCGTAGGCCGAGCGGGAGGAGTTCACGGTCCGGAGGGAGAGCTGGGGTCAGGAAAAGTGGGGAGAAAGATGTGGTCACCAGCAGTGCTGGGCCCAGCCCTCAGGCTAGCTTTTGCCCAGGCACTTGCCCCAACGGCTTCCGTTCTACCATCACCTGCGGAAGCCCGCCCTCTCCTTCCAGTCATCCGTGGTGTCCTCCATGCAGCCCTCCCCAAGTCCCGAGTGGGCCTCAGCGCTGCCCCTTCCACAGCAAGGGCGCGACCCAGCCTTCAGTCCCCATGCCTTTACCTAATCACCCCCACCAGGCACTTTAGGGAGGGCAAGGGCTCTCGATTCGGACACGAGCCAGGGAAGATGACAGGGCCCAGAGGGACGTCCCAGCAACAGGGGAGGCCCCTGCTAAACTCAGCAAACGTGCCCACCGGGCACCCTGCCTGATGGGGCGAGGCTCGAGCCCCGATCAGGGTTCCCTGTGGGACTTTCACGTCACACCCCCACACCCGGTCTCCTCACCCCGTCTTCCAGGGGCTCCAGGTAGAGTTCGTCCCCGATGCGGGACAGGGAGTGGACGGCCTTGCCGAGCACTGCGGGGAGGAGGGGAGAGAGGGGTTTGCGGGAGCCTCGGGCCGCCCCACGTGGTTCCAGCCCCCGGCCGGCCCCGACTCACCCTTCACATTGCTGCCCGTGACCAGACACTTCATGCTGCCCCCAGTGACCGGGATGGGGCAGGCGGCGGGCTCGGGGGCGAACCCCAGCTCAACGGTCCCCTCCGGATCTCTCCCGCTGCTCTAGGCGGCCGGGGGTTCCCTTCCCGCGCACCGCCCCCGGCAGCCCCGCCCCCGCCTCCTGATTGGGCCGCAGGCCGGCAGCTCTGTCACGTGAGAAAGACGCTAGCCGGCTGCGCATCACGTGACGGAGTCTGCGCCCGGGGCGGGTCCTGTCACGTGACCCGGGAGTGTCATTCCCCTGTGTGGTCCGGGCCCACCCTCTGCTCTCCAGCGCCCCGGGCAGCCGGGCGGGTCAGCTGGGCCCACGGCGGCCGCGCGCCCGAACGCGAGGTGCCCAGAGGGTGTCCGGGAGCGAACAGTGGGCTCGGAATCCAGAGATGGGCAGGCGGGCCCGGCCGGGGTCACTAATTTAGTACGGATTTCCTGGACGTCTGTCGGGCGCCAGGGGGTGCGTACGGGGTCGATGCAAGACCGTCTCACCCCGTCCCAGCGGGCCGGGGACGCGGACAGAAGCAGCAACTACCAGCTTTGAAAAGATAGTAACGCACCTTGCTACAGGATCCCGGGGTGGGAGGTGGCTGCTCGCCGTGGCTTCGGCGAGCCTCCTTTGATCCCGAAGAACAGAAGCTTCTCCGGACGGAAAGGGGTAGAAGGATGTGGCCGGCAGGAGACGGCGAGAGTACAGAATCTCAGCAGCGCGTGGGGCTTTTCCCTCCGTTGGGAAGGAAGTGCGTCTGTGAGAGGAGGGATGGGTGCTGCTGAAAAAGAGGGTCTCTGATGGAAAGCGCTGGAAACATTTTATGAGGATAGACTCCTGCGTCTCTGGCCTTTTGAAAAAGACCAAGGGAGGGTGCCAAAAGGGCTGAGTCAATCCCTGGGTAGGGAAGATCCCCTGGAAGAGGAAATGGCAATCCACTCCAGTATTCTTGCCCAGAAAATCCCTTGGACCGAGGAGTCTGGTGGGCTACAGTCCATGGGGTCGCAAAGGGTGGGACACGACTGAGCCCGTACACAGCAGTCAGCCGGTCAGGTCTTCCCCTCGTCCTCAGCATCGGTCCTCAAGTGAGTGAAGAGGAGGGCAAGTCATGGAGGGGCTCCTGACCTCTGGTTTCCTGCAGCACCTGGTGTGCTTTGAGGGACCCTTGGGCACCCCTGCATTCCTTTAGGGCCTTGCTCCTCTGGCACTGTCGCCACTAAGGAAGCCACGTTTGCGGGACCCTTGCGCTCCTGGCCTGCAATTCTGGACCCCACTTCCTCTCCTTACCCTCAGTTTTCCTCCCTCACCAGGTTTCCCTGGATTACTGGGGGAGATTATTCTTGCCTTTTAAGGGGTTCAGTGTAAATGATACCACTTGTACCCAGGCATTTAGCTCAGTAAACTGGAACTCATCCTTGATGCCATCCTGACCCAACGCTTACATACTATAATACTTCAGCAAGCCCTGAGTCCTCTGCCTCCCAAACAGATGGCAAATTGGTCCTCCTCTCCCATGTCCACAACCATCATTCTGGCTCAGGCCACCATCATCTCTCACTTGAATGATGGTGGGAGCACTCTGAGTGGTTTCCTGTCCCTCCACTCCACTCTCCATACAGCACCAAAGTGACCTTCCTAAAGTGTCATTCATATCATGCCTTTCCCAGGTTTAGATCCTGCAGTGGTTTCCAACTACTGCACTTGCCAGCAAATCTAAATCCCTTGGGAATTCCTGAGGATCCACTGGTAAGGACTCTGAGCTTTTACTGCCAAAGGCGCAAGTTCAACCCCTGGTTAGGAAACAAAGCATGGCCTAAATAAATAAATAAGCTACCAAAAACTAAACCCCTTACCCCAAACCTGTAGGAAGGATCTGGCCCTGCCCATCTCTTTACCTGTCTCTGGCCTCCCTCTGCAGCTGGGCTGGGGAGCAACCACATCCTTCTCCACCTTGGGCTGTCCACATAAGCTATTCCCACCACCTGGAATGCTCTTCCCCCTTCTCACACGGAGGCACCTTCTCTTCCTAGGGCTCAGCTTCAGGTGCCCATCCTCAAATAGGCCTTCTCTGCCTCCCCGCTCCAGGCCCCCTCCCCATCATCCAGCTAATCCCTTGCTCGGAGTCATCCACAGCACTTAGCACAACTCAACATTATCTCACATATGTCTACTTCTGTACTGCCCCTAGGATGTCAGCCCCGGGAGGCCAGGACTGAGTCTGTTGTGTTTGTTACTGCGTCATCGTACCTCCCACAGAGCCCGGCCCTCAGCAGGTGATCAGTAAGTACACGTTCAGGGAGTAAGTGTGTGATCCAAGTGAAACTGAGTTGCCTCTGGTTGCCTCTTAGCACAGTGTTGTGATTAAATAAAACTTCCAAGCCCTGCCCACAGTCCTACCCTTCCGTGGATGATAGCTGTCACCCCACATTCTGTCCAGTCCACCACCCCCCAAAGAAAGAACCTAGCATTCATTATTCTTCTCCTTATTTCACTCCTCCTCCCTGGATCTCACCCTCTCTCTTTTTATTCCAGTGAGAATCAGCCAAGCCTTCATGGCTTCTCCACTGCTTCCCCAGCCATTGCCTGAGCAGCCCAGTTGGAACAGGAGATAGATCCAACACTCCCTGGAAGGCAGGGAGGGGAGCTGTGACTCATCAAACAGCCAGGTCTCTGCTTCTGAGTCTTATGGGGCTGTAGGGTCCTGTAGCCTCCAGGCTTTGGAGCAAGGCTCTGGAGGGAGGAAGTTGTCTAGTTGCTCATTCGTGTCTGACTCTTTGCAACTCCATGGACTGCAGCACACCAAGCTTCCCTGTCCTTCACCATCTCCTGGAGTTTGCTCAAATTCATGTACATTGAGTCAGTGATGCCATCCAACCATCTCATCCTCTGTTGCCCCCTTGTCCTTTTGCCTTCAATCTTTCCCAGCATCAGGGTCTTTTCAGATGAGTTGACTCTTCACATCAGGTGGCCAAAGTTTTGGAGCTTCAGCTTCAGCATTATTCCTTCCAATGAATATTCAGGGTTGATTTCCTTTGGGATTAACTGGTTTGATCTCCTTGCTGTCCAAGGGACTCTCAAGAATCTTCTCCAACACCACAGTTAGAAAGCATCAATTCTTCATTGCTCAGTCTTCTTTATGGTCCAACTCTCACATCCGTACATGACTACTGGAAAAACCATAACTTTGCCTGTACGGAGGGAGAAGGAGACAGAAATGCTTTTGGACTTCTGATGAGTCTTTCCTAAGCTATGTGTATGTGTGTGTGCGCGCGCACACACCTGCCAAAGCCAGGAATCTCCTGACCCTTGCGAAGGGCTCAGACACCAGAAAGGAGCTTAGAGCTGGGAATCGGGAGTCCTGGGTCTCTGGTCTGTCCTCAGCACTGACTCTGCTGTGACTTTGGGTGAGTCCCTCCCGTGTCTGCGACTGTACAATATGGTTGGTGGCATGAGATACCCCTTCCCAACTTGATGTGCTGAGATTACAAGGGGCCTTCTGACTGCTCTGAGCCCCTCTGCTAGCCACCGCCACTCTGGGAAGAGCTGGAACTGGCAGGCCTGCTCCCCCAGGCTGTGGGGCTGGAAGGGAGCTCTCCCATCAGACGTCAGGCAGCCTCTCCAGGATGGCAGTTGGCGTAGCCAAGAAGGCCTTCCAGGTCCAGAAGGGAGGAGGCACAGGGGACTCCAGCCCTGCTCACAGACGGCCTCAGGCAAGTCAAGGCCCTTCTCTGGGTCTGTTTCCTCCTTGATAAAGTGAGCAGGTTGAATGAGATGCTGTCTCGAGAGTTTTTAAAACCCCACATTCTTACAGTCTTCACCATACCCCACATTAGAGATGGCCTCCTGCAAGTACACAGCATGTGATTGTGTGGGAGTGTGTGTGTGAGTGTGTGAGTGAGTGTCTTGGGGGTAGATATGAAGTGGGGGAAGGTGGTTACCATTTCAAGCTTCTAAAATAATGATCTGTCTGGAAATTTCAACTGCCGCTTCTCACCCAACTTGTTAGATTTTGAATCAGAATCCTCAGAGCTCAGTAATTCATTCAGTTAACACATGTTAGGACTTCCCCTGGTGGTACGGCGGATGAGAATCCGCCTGCCAATGCAGGGGACACGGGTTCAATCCCGGGTCCAGGAATATTCCACATGTCGAGGGGCAACTAAGCCCGTGCACCACGACTGCTGGAGCCTGCCAGCCCTGGAGCCCACGCCCCACAAGGGAAGCCACCAGAATGAGGAGCCCGCACACAACCAAGAGTAGCCGCTGCTCATCGAAACTAGAGAAAGCCCTGGAAGAGCAAGGAAGACCCAGCGCAGCCATCAATAAATAATTTTTTAAATGAACATTTCTAATAGGGTCAATCTGAATACTGGAGAAGGAAATGACAACCCACTCCAGTGTTCTTGCCTGGAGAATCCTAGGGACAGAGGAGCCTGGTGGGCTGCCGTCTGTGGGGTCGCACAGAGTCGGACACGACTGAAGCGACTTAGCAGCAGCAGCAGCAGCAATCTGAATACACACTAAAAAACAAACAAACAAACGTGTTAGACACACTTTTCTAAGTGTGGGAAAGAGTCCAGGACAAAAATCCCTTCCAGAGGGCCTGACGCTGCCGAGGCTGGGCTGCGCACACACGGGAGGTGGGCTGTGCGTGGTGACGCTGGGGTTTCCCGGTGTGAGAGGGAGTTCTGAGCTGATGGGCCTGTGGCACACCAGGTGCCTCCAGCCCTCGGAGGCGCGCCTGGCCTGGGCCTTTTTTGTTCCCTGGCGTTTCTCCCAGAACAAGCTTGACACATAGCAGTGGTTTAATAAACGTAGGTCGGATGGCCGAAGAGTGTCGGATTCTGAAGGTTGACAAGACTTGAAGCCACGTTGTCTGTTGAGGTGGACCATGGGGTTCTAGGCCCTTGTGTGCCTGAGTCTGAATCCTGGCCTCGTCGCTTTCAGGTTCTGTGCAAATGAACGCTTTGCTTTTATATTCTCTGAACCTCAGTTTTCTCATCTGTAAATTGGGGGAGGAACAGCTAACAGTCCCTTCTTAGAGGGCCGTGAAGATGAACTTTCTCAATGTTCATTAAGCCCTTTGTCCGCACGGTCAGTGATGCTGTTCCTCTGGCTACTGTGTCCTGGCTCCTCTGTCTTCGGAGTGTCCCCTCACGATATTCTGGGCTCGGGACCAGGTACAGAATAAATCATCAACACGGCTGAGGCCAGGGTGAATCCACACTCGGAACTGGGAGGGACCGCCCCCCACAGTAACTTCACAGAGGAAAGGTCTGGAGGCCAGGAGCTGGAGACGGCTCAGAGGGAGAGCGTAGGTAGGGATAGGAGTCAGCCAGCCCCGGGAAGAGGTGCGGGGTGGGGGCCTTTTCCCCGCTTCATCCTGGGCCCTCAGCGTGCCCTCTGCCCTCCGGAGGGAGAAGACGAGCCCTCACCATCTTGGCCAGCTGCTGGGGGCTGGCACTGCCAGGCTCCGAGCACAGCTGAGACACCAGGTCCCTTCCGTCTGCAGGGCTGGAGATGAAGGGGAGATGAGATGGAATATTTTAAGGCTGCAGATGGGAAGGGGAAAGCTCAGGCTTGTTCACCAGAACCTGGCACGCTGGAGTTACAGGGCCCCCTCGGAGCACGAGTGAGGTAAGTTTAGGACAAATCAAAGGCAGCGTGCTTCCCCCAGCAGGGGAGGACTCGATGGAACTCATTACCCCAAGATGTGGTCTCGGCTGGAAATAGAAATAGCTTCACAAAAGGTTTAGATAAATCTGTGGATGACAGCTCCATTCATGGGTTAGAAGGGAAGGAAGCTGTTTGGGGCCTCCTGGCCCATGGAGAAGACATCAGGGAGATGACCTGGCCTCCCTGAGACCACCCCCAGGCTCCTGTTGGAGGCAGGCTTCAGGCCCCGGGGACCCGGGAGGCAGCGTCCGTATTCCTACTGCCTGGAGCCCAGTCTGACTCCCAGGCTCTTGCCTCAGTGTCCCCAGCGCTTGCCGTCAGCTGTCTGGGGAGCCGTGGGCACTGCCAGCTCTGGGAAAGTGGCCCGGCCCGGCTGTGCCCTCAGGGACCAGCAGAGGGAGACAGACACCATGTCCAGTCCCTGCTTCCAGCTCAGAGACCAGGCTGCCCTGGGGAGGGCAAGTGGGCGCCCAACGGTCCCAGGTCGGTGTCCAGCACTGTGCCAGGCACCCAGGGGAGAGGGGCCCCAGGAGCCATCTTCCCTGGCCGAGGGGGGCTTACTACAGTGCAGGGGGGAGGAGGGGCTTCAGTGAGCTGAGGGCAGGGCAGGGAGGAGACCACTCAAGAGCAGGGCGGCTCTGAGCCATCTTCCCTGTCCCCACAGACCCCAGCCCCTGGTGGGCAGGGCGCGGCTCTCTGTAGGACCCCGCTGTCCCGCAGATACATGTAGGAGGTGCTTCAGAAAGCCTTGGGGTTGACTGGACCCCAAAGACCCGAGTGCCAGCTCCTCCCCGCCCGGGAGCCCTTTCCAGGCCAAGTGTGGTTTCCCAACTGCTTGGCTTTCCCCAGCCACCCTCACAGTTTCCCTTGACATCTTCCTGACCTCTGACCCCTGCCTTCTGGGCACCAGAGCCCTTCTTGCACTTGTCTGAGCTCTTGAGCCCTGGTTTCATTGAACAAGTGTCACAGCGGTCAGCAGCTGAAGCTGACATGTGTTCAGGGTGCTCTGCCAGGGACCACGAGGTGGGCCCCGGAAAGGTGTCTGTTGGGGCCAGGGATGGGGGAGCCCCTCACAGACAGAAGGGGGCTGGCACCCGGCACAGCTGGGGGGCGGCGGGTGGCTCCCCTTGTCGCCCCGGAGCTCACTGTGCCTCTGTCCATCTTGCAGCACGCTGACTGCCTACGAGGAGGCCGTCCAGGAGGCTGAAGCCAATGCTCAGGACCTGCTGGAGGAAAGTTGAGCAGCTGCCCAGCTCTAGAACTTTCCAGGGTTCCGTGTCTGTGCCTGGTGTGGGGTGTCAGAGTGGAGGTGCTGGGGACAGGGCTCAGGAAGAAGGCCAAAGGGAAAGAACAGAAGGTGCAGGCAGATTAACATGGGGTTTGCAGGGGTCAGGGGTCAGGGCAGCATCATGAGCAGAGATGGGAGGACAGAGTGAGATAATAATAGTATGTAACATTGTTGCGTGTTAAGTGCCAGAGGTTTGACTTGTATTAAGTACTGTGTGGGTGCTAAGTCGCTTCCAACGTGCGACCCCATGGACTGTAGCCTGTTAGGCTCCATGGGAGTCTCCAGGCAAGAACACTGGAGTGGATTGCCGTGCCCAGTCAATTATCCCTTATTCTGAGGAAGATACCATTATCATCACCCTGTTTTATGCAAGAGAAGACAGAGTGTGAAGGGGTCAAGTGACTCGCCCAAGGTCACGCAGCTGGTGAAAGCAGCTCCCAGCCTGCTGGGATGGCCCCAAGGAGGTAGCAGCTGCCGGCTGTCCTCTGACCCCCCCGGGGGCTCCTGTGCAACCCAGACAGTCTGGAGAAAGACTGAAGGAAGAAGGCTGGTGGGAGGGAGGGGACCGGCAGTGACTCAGCAAGGCAGGATAAGGATCTTCCAGCCCAGGGAGAGGTAACCCCACTCCTCTGCCAGGGGAGACGGAGTCACAGAGCCCGCGGCATGGGTTGGCCAGGGCAGCGGAACATCCCGAAGAACGGCGGGCAAAGCTCCTGGCGGACGGATGGAGGGGAGCAGCTGGGGGCATCCCTTCTGCCCTGCCCTCCTCACACATCCATCACCCTGACATCCTTGCAGATGGGTGAGCAAGCCGCCCCCCCTCCGCCCCCCTCCCACCCCCGTAGGGCAGGGCAGAGGCAGGAAGCAGCCAGGTTCCTCTCCGCTGCTAGGAGGCAGGGGGCTGGGAGCGCGGTGTCTTCAGGAGGCCCAAGCTGGGCCAGGCCCGGGTGGGGGATACAGGACGGGGCAGGGCTGTTGCTAAGGTAGGAGGAGGCCTTTGGTCCTGGGGTTTCCGCTGACATCACAGCCAGCTCAGGGTGAGGCAGGGCCCTCTGGACTCCTGCCCTTGGAGGAAAAGGGGGCGTGAAGGCTGCCTTTCCTCCCCCTCCTGCCCGCCGTGGCCCCTGCACTCTGAGGGGGCGTTCATCCTGGGATGTTGCAGACCGCAGAGTCGGCCCTCAGGAGGCACGGGAAAGCCCTTGTCCTGCTTCTGTGGGCAGGCCGCCATCTGACTCCAGGCTCAGTGCTCATCCCGTGGTTCTAACTCCATGCTCTGCTCATGGAGTCTACTGAAGGGACGCAAGTGCTCCTGGCTGGCGCCTCTCACCAACCCAGGAGGCCCACGTGGGGTGTCTGGCCCATCAGTCGTGGGTGGGGGCTGTGGGCAGGAGAGCCCAGGTCAACTACTCCAGGCACACGGGGACTCTGACCCAGAGGGCGTGCTACTGTCCTGAAGAGACCAGGGGCGCCCCAGGTTGGATGCCTCCTAGCCACTGACTCGATGGACATGAGTTTGAGCAAGCTCCGGGAGTTGGTGATGGACAGGGAGGCCTGGTGTGCGGCAGTCCATGGGGTCACAGAGAGTTGGACATGATGGAGCGACTGGACTGAACTGAGCCAGGGGGTGCTCAGCACATGCTGTTGTCTCTGCATCCAACCTCTTCTCTTCTCAAGGGTCCCTGCACGGTGGGTGTGGTGAAGAGGGAACCGTGCTCAAGGCTGACAGTCCTCAGTTCCAGCCCTGGTTCTACCTCCTGGTGTGACTTCAGCCAAGTGGCTTCATCTTACCAAGCCTCAATCTTCTCGTGTATCACATGGGGAAACACCAGTTCTTATTATCTAGGATTATTGTAAGAATGGAATGAAATCATTCACATAAGCCTTCGCACAGGACCTGACTCGTGGTGAGAGCTCAGTGTGTTTTGACACTTGGCATGAGTTAAGCCCGAGAGGTGCAAAAGGGTAGCGTGTCACTGAGAAACGCCAGGCATCGCAGCAGGCTGGCAAGAGTCTCTGGGGTGGGACCTGCACCCCCCCAACCCCAGGGCCTCTTAGGGTTCCTGTCCTCTTAGGGCTCTGTGTCCCTGGCGCCTGGCATGGAGCAGGAACTCATGAAGGTTTGGTGAACAAAGAGATGAATGAATGAATGAATGAATGGAAGTCCTTACTCACTTCCGTGGCTTCTCCAGTACTGCATTCCTGTTCACCCACCAAGAGGGCACAGACCAGAGCCTTCCCCAGATACCCCAGCAGCCAGGGTGCCTTCAGTGTCAATTCTGCAGCTGTGTGGTGTCTTTCGGGCATATAGACGGCCTTCCCTGGGGGTGCCAGTTATGGGGGGAGGTGGGGAGGCTGGAGGGAGGGGTGGAACCCTAGCCCATCCCTGAGTCAACACTGACTCACCCCCACCCCCTTGGAGGGCTGCTCAGTCATCTCTGGGTGCCAGCCCTGCCCCCTACCCAGACACACCCTTTGAGGCCTGACCGGCTAAACCCTGCAGATGGTAAGGAGTGAAGTCTGGAAGAAGGCCAGCGAGGGCATCAGAACAATATCCCCCTCATCGGCTCACGGGTACTCCACCATGCCCTGGGGAGGTGGTCATATCCCATTCCACGGAGAGGTGATGGGCTTGTCCCAAGGCCACGCCAGCCAGTTGGAAGCCCAGCATCCTGACTCCCCGTCCTGCACTCCGCCTGCCAGCCTCAGCCTGTGGGACCTCAGGGCTTCAGCCAGTGGTTATAGCCACCCCTCCTGCCATCCAGACACATGTCCACCCAAAAGCTCCATCTCCTCTCAGAGCTGGCCTTCCCTCTGATCTCAGTTTAATGAGTGTCCTTTGTCACCAGACTCTGAAATTCTCGAAGAAAGGGGTGGGTTTTCCTCTGTCCTTTACAAGACCTGGGGCGCAGGAAATGCCTGTAGGAGCCATCATGGCACAGATGGATCTCGGAGGGCCCCCCCCATCTTACCCCCTTGGGGATTTGGCAGAATAAAGGCACTGTCTTTGCTCCAGCCCCCACCCCGGCCCAACTGGCAGCTCGTCGCCGGCATGCTGCCTTTGCCCAGACATGGCAGAGGGGCACTGGCAGCTTGGAGATGGAGATGATTTTCCCTTGGGCAGTGGGGAAGGTGGGGAGGGCAGCAGCTTGCTCCCCCACCCCACCCCCCAGGTGAGAGGAGAGGGCAGGGCTGCAAGTCCAGACAAGAGGCAGAGGGAGAACAGGGCTTCCCCAGCTCCTGGGGTCGGGGCGTCCAGCTCCGGGGTAGGGGGTGGGGGCGCTGTGTGGAAAGCCACTCATCCTTGCACCAGCTGGCTTGGGTCCCCATTCCAGAGCTGCAAAACTCAGTTCCTGCAAACCAATGCTTTCTAGACTCCTGAGATGAACATTTGCCGGGGTGGAGGTGGGGGACATGGACGTGTCCCTCCCCTTCCACTGCACCGGTTCCTCTTCCTTCTTCGGGTAGGCCTCCCCCTCCTTCCCGCTCCCACCTACCGATTTGCCTCTTTGTGTCTCCGCTTTCCTGCCCTGTCCCTTCTCTCTTCTCCCTCCTCTTCCCTCAGCGCCCCCCTCCTTAGATCCCCTCTCCCTCCTTCCCCTTTCTCTCCTGGCCCCCTCCTTCTCTCCCGTGTTGGGGCTGCTTTCTCCCTGACTCAGCAAGGTGCTTTATAAGGTGCTGAGGGGCTCGGCCAAATCCAAACCACATTGTCTGTGCAGACACTCTCCGCAAGGAGCAGGCTGCAAACCCGGGGAGAAAGGCTTGAGCGGCTCCCCTCGTCTCCTCCCCTGCCCTCCTCCCTCCAAAAGGGTAGCTGCTAGGAGACCTCCTGGCCAGCCTCAGTGCCCGTCACCCACTGGGCATCTGCCTCCTTGACCTTGGCACGGGCATCAAAAGATCCTCGGCTCGCTGGCCAAGAATGTCATTGAAACTCCAGCACTCTGGCTGGGGGAGGGGCGGGAGGAGGCCCCCCTGAGCACTTCTCCAAGGGTCCCCCCCAAGGCAGGTTTCATCAGAGCTGCTCCTGACTCCCAAAAAAAGCCCCTGCCCCCCACCGCAGGCCATCTCCCCTTTCCCAGCTCTTTTTCTCCTCCTTTAGGGCGGAAAAAAAAAGAAAGAAGGGGGGAAAAAAAAAGAAAAAACCCAACAACAAAGTCTGTCCCACTCCAGTGAGGTAATTGAAAACAAACTTCTTCCCCACCCCCCCACCCCCCCCCACCTCAGTTCTGGAAGAGCAGAAAGGGGAAGAGCTGCCGTGGGAGCCCCGCTCTGGGCAGGACCATGCCTCTCCCTCTGACCCACCTCGAGGGGTGAGGGCAGGACCGGCAGGGCACCCTTCTTTCTCTGGGGGCACCAGGGCGGGCGTGGTGGGGCGCAGCCTCTGATGCTGTTCTGAGAGGAGTCCTCATGCAGGTCTGGCCCGCCACCACCTCTCTCTCCTCCAGGCGGCAAAGAGACCACAACAAAAGCAACTTACTACCAAGTGATTTAATTGGTGGTCTGGCTCTAGAGCACTCAAGCCTTGGAGACAAATGACCAAAGAAAAGTCGTGGAGTGGGGATGTCTGCACGCCCCCGGATGGGAGCGTTTCCCCTGCAGTCTCCTTGGAGTCCTCTGTGTGGGGAGAGAGGCAGACCCTCCAGGGAGGGTCTGGGCTTATGGGTCCCTTAGGGATCCCACCTGACGAGTCCCTGGCCAGTCCCGAGGGAAGGGCGGACAGAGAGCACTCCACAGCCCAGCCACCCCTACCCCACCCCCCGGAGAGCCCACAGCCCCAACCCCAAAGGCAGGAGAAAGCAGAGTCTTCATGGGGAAGCATGTCACAAGTGGGGACTCTGGGTCTCTCCATCGCCTTGCACCCGAAAGGTCTCGCTGAGTCACCCCTGAAACCTCTGGTGTTGAAACTGGTCCGGTGCCTCGTGCTGATTAATGAATTACGAGTCCCCCACCCATGAGCACTCGCCTGGCCAGGGGCAGGAAGAATGAAGAACCCTGTGAACTGGAGGGAAGAGCCCTCTGCCAAGTGCCCTCTTCTTCCCTCCGCACTGGGCAGTGGGCCTGCGGTGCCCTCTGCCCGCCCCCCCCGGGGGGCGGGCATTGTGAGCCGGTTAGTCACCTGCCCCAGCCCGAGCGCCTCGCTCGGCCTCGGCGTTTGGAAATGGGACAGGCGGCGGGACAATAGGCAAGGGGGGCGGTCAGCCCAGACAAAGGGCAGCAGGAAAAACACCATCACTTGCTTCGAAGCCAGCTCGCTGGCATTTGGGAGAATGTGTCATTGCGTTTACTCGGGGTGGGAGGGGGGACGGAGGGGTGGGGAGGTTAGAGATGCTGAGGCAGAGGTAGGGTGAGAGCCGGACCCCGCCGGGCCGGGGCCGGCGCCCCAGGCCGACACCCGGGGAGAAGAAAACGGGCGGCCAGCTCACTCCCCTGCCTCTGGGGAGTTCGCCGCCGGACGGATGCCCTCCCGCCCCCTCCCCCAGGAGGCCCGGGGTGGTACCGCCGCAGCCTCGCCTCACCTCACCCCCCCTCGGTGTTGTGGGAGGGAGAGGAGCCCCAGAAGCCCTCCCTCCCCTCCTCCCCCCCCCTCCCCCCACCCCGGGGAGGGCCGCTACAATTTGTGGTTACAGCTTTACACGTCAGAAAAAAAAAAAGTTTGCAGAATGTCCCACACCGAAAAAAAAAAAAAAATCCGAAACCGAGCGAAAAAAACCTGCGAGTGGGCCTGGCGGATGGGATTATTAAAGCTTCGCCGGAGCCGCGGCTCGCCCTCCCACTCCGCCAGCCTCCGGGAGAGGAGCCGCGCCCGGCCCGCCCGGCCCCCAGCCCCATGGACCTCCGAGCAGGTAGGAGCCAGGCGTCCGAGGCCCCGGCCCCCGCCCCCGCCCGGGAGCCGCCTGATCCGGTTCCCGTCCTTCCCCCGGGGAGTCCCGAGCCGGGGCCGGGCTGGGGAGCCGGGCGCTGCCCCCNGGGAGGGCGGGCAGGGAGTGGACAGCGCGGGAAAGGGCAGCGGCCCGGCCGAGCCTGGAGCCCCGGCGCCCCCGGACCCCGCCCCCGCCCCCGCCGCCGGGAAGGGAGCGACCGGGCGGGAGCGGGCCGGGGGCGGGGCCGGGGGCGCCGGGGCCACACAGGGGGAAGGCGCCGCCGCCGCCGCCGCAGGGAGGGGGCCGGGAGCGAGAGGTCACCGCCGAGGGGGGAGGGCGGGCGAGCGGGCCGAGCCCCTCGAGGGAACCCCCAGGCCTCGGGCATCGCCAGGGTCCCCTCATCCCGGCTCTCCCCACCTTCCTTCCCAGCGACTCCACTCTGCGCTCCAGATGCCCTCCCCAGACTCCCACCTCCCAGAGGACGCGTCCCCGCTTCCTCCTGCGCCCGGCCCGGCCCGCCCCGCTGGGGTAGGAGGGGGCTGCCGGGAGGGGAGGGGCGGCTGGAGGTCCGGCTTGGCCGGCGCGGTCGGAGCCTCGGAGAGCGGCTGTGGGGGGGCGGGGGACCACTGGACGCGCTCCTCGGTTGGGCGGTCTCTGACCCTGACCCCTCCGGGCTGACACCTCTGTGCTTTCCCTGTCCCCACGGAGCCCCTCTCCGGCTGCGGGAGCACACGTCTGCCCTTCCCGCGGGACACGGGGATACACCGCCCCCCGCCCCGACAGAGCAGACCCGGTGCCCCCACTGGCTCAGACACGCTCGCTGCCCTGGAGCCAACCGGGGGAGGAAAGAGGCAGCAGGCAGCGGTGGCAGCAACTGTCCCGCCGCAGCAGCCCCGAGGTCTCCCCCCACCCCCCAGCCGATGTAATGGCTCCCTTTCCCCCTGGCAGAGCCCTGCGCGGGCCGGTCACACTTTTGCACACCCCCCTCGGCACTAGCTACTCTGTTAGTGACACTTCACATTCCTCCCCACAATCCCACCTGTCTATTCACACTCTGGCTCCTGCACGCTCTCCGAGCCCCTCCCACACTCTCTGGATAACAGCACCCTTTCAAGCACAGCCGCACCACTGCTGGACTATTTCCTTCATTTTGCGCTACCCCCTCCCCCCCACACACACACACCCCTCCGCACCCCCTTGCCTGCTTTCTGCCCGGCTCCACCCAGGGTCCTCTTGGGGCACAACCCCGACCCTCAACTCCAACAAAAGCCCAGCTCCTGGAGTGGGAACACACTCCTCAAGGCTGGGAGGCGGCAGCCCATCTGCTTCTTTCCCTGGGCCTCAGTTTCTCCTTGTCATTTAGGCTGGAAGAGAAGGGCAGGGAGGGGTCTGCTGAAGAGGACAGCAGAGCTGGAGGGCCAGGTGGTTTGAAATTTAGCTGCACAGTGGGATGCCATCACACAAGCCCAGCCACTGGATGGGCTGGTGACAGAGAGGTCTCCTGACTTTGGGCCCACCCTTTACCCACTCCCTGAGCCTCTTCTCAGTTGCCTAGGGGATAGGGAACCAAGGAGAGGATGGGAGAGAGAGAAGGAAGACAGGGGAGGGGCAGCCGGCCCAGAAGACCAGGAAAGCTGGGCTGTTCCTTTGGGCCCTTCTCTGAGAACGGGGCTGGGGGTGACCCCCAGAGCTGTGCCCTGACTCTCTCACCACCGTGGACCCAGCACCCCTTCAGTGGCTGCGTTCCCGTGGTGCTCCCCCACTGACCCCTCCGAGATCACCAGGGTGCTGAGCCTGGCCCGGCCTCAAGGCAGGGCCTTCACTCTTGCTTGGACCCTCAGCCCAGCGCCTCTGGGCAGCGCCTCCCAGCTCCAACCTGTCGGGCTGACGGCTCTGAGCCACCAGTCCAAGGCGCAGAGTCTCCTGGCTGACCGGTCCTCCCCACCATGACTGCCCTGGCTCGTGTGCACTGCTGAGCCCCCTATCTTTCCCGACTGAGGTCAGACTGGGGGAGACGGGCTGAGGGGGGCAGCTGCCTAGAGACATGTGTCCATGTGGTCTGCCTGCCTGTGCAGCCATGTCAGGGTGGCCATGCGCGTGCGTGGGCTGAGTGTGTGTGTGTGTGTGTGTTCATGAGGGGGGCCTTGGTTCCCAGGGCCCAGGGATCTGGATGGAATTAGGGGCTGGCCGGGGCGGGGGCCAGGATGAGGGGGTGGCGGGGGGCCCCCGCAGCAGGAAATGTGAGCTGCTCTCATTAGCTCCTCACGTGCTCAGCCGGATTTATAAACACAGGGGAAGACGGGATGTAAACAATCAGTGGGCAGCAGCCAGAGGCAGAGTTGGGGCGGGGGCCGGGCTGGGGGCCAGGGCTGGGGGAGGGGGCCCAGGACACAGCCCCCCGTTAGCCGGCCCACCTGCACACCCTGCGCCTGCAGAGGAGGGGGAGTGTGAGGACTCCAGGGTGCCCCCAGCACTTGCCCTCCTAGGGACACAGGCACAAGTTCCAGGGCCCACGACTAAACCACAGGTGTTCTCTGCCCAGACAGCTCTCAGTTTTGCTGCCTGAGAGGTGGGACATCTTGCCCAGAGCAGCGGCCATCCCGACAGAGAGGAGAGCCCTTTGGCCTTCTACTCCCCTCCTGCCTCTTCTCCCTCTGGATTTCTGAGGCTCCTTCCCTCCTGATCCCTCAGATCCTTCAGCTCTCTCCCCCCACCCCCCCACCCCCCAGCCTTCAGTGACACAGTTACCTCAGAACTGAAATATTCCTGGAAACACCGGCCTTGTCTGGTTAATTTCATGAGCCGTTTTTCTGCCCAGATGACTTCGCTCTTGTTTTTCCAGAGGCTTCTCCCTGTGCCGTCCCTGTGTAGGGAGCCAGTCCTCCCCAGGGATGTCCCACAGGGCCCAGACAGGGAGGGAAGAACAAGGCCCAGAACTGGGTTCCTAACCCCCCGCCCCCACCCTCTGCGGGCCAGGCAGAGCCAGTCCTCGAACCCTGGCTGGCAGGGCTGCCCAGAGCAGCATGGGGTAAAGAGCCGAGCCTAGCTCCTCACTGCAGATTCTGCTGGGACCCTCGGCATCATCACTGACTGAGGAGGAGACTGGACTTAGTCCCAGAAGGGCCGCTCCCTGCTCAGCAGGTCTCCAGCCCCTGAAACTGACCCCTCACTGTGCCCTTAGGATCTTGGGCACTCAGCCAGACAGCGGCTGAGGGCAGGGCAGCAGAGGAGAAGGGCCTGGAGTTGTCCGGGGATGTGAAGGACAGGGAATAGAAAGGACCTCAGGTGACTCCCCTGGTGGTCCAGTGGTTAGGACTCGACGCGTGTACTGCAGGGGGCACGGATGGGTTTGATCCCTGCTTAGGGAACTAAGATACCCCCAGTGCTGCTCAGCGCAGCCAAAAAAAGAGGGGAGGGGGAGAAAGAAGGGAACTCAGAGTCAGCAAGAGCTAGGAGTGGAAAGGAAGGGTGAGGAGAGGACCATTTGGGAGGGAAGCCACAGGCTACAGATGGAGAAGAGGAAAAGGGGAGCCTGTCTCCCCAGGCAGCAGTTATGGGTCTGGCCCTGCCTTCTGTCCTAAAACACACATGGGTGGGGCATGTGTGTGCGTGCGTGCGTGCATGCACACACACACATATTCTCAAACAAGAGCCCTTCACTCAAGACAGCAGAACCCCTGAGACTAGAGGCACGCTGTTACCACGCTCCATCAGTGCAGCCGGTGCCAATGCATCTGAAAGAGCCAGACCGACCAGCGGGCCATGGCAGAAGGTCCCGGCTGAGCCCTGCCCTCCACAGAGACCTTCCAGACCGTGTGAATCCTAAGCTCTCCCAGGCTGCAACCCTCTCTAAACCCCTGAACCAGCGTATGACGAAGTCTAAACCAACCTGGTCTTAACTCTTCCTAACTCCACACTTACCATAACTCCAAGTACAATCAACTTGTTAAACCTGTATCCAACTTATTTCTGTCAAAGCAACATATATCATTGTAGAAAATTTGACAGGATATAATCGAAACTAAAAGAAGGAAACCACTGTCAACCTCACAGCTCCCCAAGCTCAAAACCCAAACTGGCCCTACTGAGTGACATGCCATATATCACCCCATCAGACAGCTACATCAACAAATGCACAAATGTCAGCCCTAGCCAACCCTCTGCCTGCCCAAACCTAACCACATCCCCCAGCTGGACTCAAACCTCAACCACACTCAGTCAGCCAGATCCCAATAAACTAACCTGAAACTTTAAAAGGAACCCAGTCCTTAAACCTAATCTAGCCCAGTGCCAATTACAGCCTTACTCTCTCCTAACCCTCATTGCCACTGCCAATCCCAAGGCCCACTGAATCCTGGTCTAGTACTCTTGACCTTGAACCTCACCTAAAACCTGGGAACATCATGTTTCCCAACGGTCGAATCTGTCCTCACAGCTCTGACCCCTGGCCTCTGATATCCTCGGGGCCCAAATTCTTCAGCACCATCAGTGGACAAGCTGCTGCTGCTAAGTCACTTCAGTCGTGTCCCACTCTTAGCGACCCCTGGTAGGAGCAGCCTACCAGGCTCCTCCATCCATGGGATTTTCTAGGCAAGAGTACTGGAGTAGGGTGCTATTGCCTTCTCCACAGCGGACAAGCAGGACTCATCAAATACATCACATGCTGTCTCTGCCCCACCCCCGCCCTGTCTTCACGGCAGACCGATCCCCAGGTCTCATTCAGGTCTAACTTTCCCCCATCTGATACCCTAGAGGAGCATGGGGCAAATCTCACTGCAGCCAGCCTCTCAGAGCGAACACCACATTTCCTTCAGTCTAACTCGACCCTGTACTTTCCACGCGCCAGAATCAAATCCCAGAATGTACCACCCACCTGAGCCAGCCCCATGTCCTTCAGCCCGCCCGGCCCTGATGTCCACAGCTACACCTTGCCTCTGACCCTGGTGGTCTGACCTTGCGTCCTGCCTCTGGCTTGACTCCCACTTGTGGTTGCCTCTTACGAGTCCCTCTCAGGGCTGACTTCTCTCAACTTGAATCTCTGACACGTGCTGTTTCCCAACCCATGGGCTCCCCCTAAGCTGCAGAGGGTGGGAGAGAAAGCCAAGGTACCACTGGAACTCCGGGAATACTGATTCTGATTCACATCCCTTGGCCTGTCCCCCCACGTACGCGCGCGCGCACACACACACACACACACACACACACGAACACCACACACACGGCGACTCTTAGCTGACACACAGATGCTCTCCGGTACCTCCTGGTAGACACACAGGCCAAGTCCTCGTCCTCAAACATAAAATATGCCTCAATGAGCACACTCTCTCAGGCCGGGAAGCGCCCCTCCTCCATTCCGCCTGCTCCCACCTGGTGTCCCACCCTCGCCCTGCTCCCGCCCAAGGTGGGGAGAGACACCTGAGGGGCTGCCAGCTGCCTCCTGGGCTGGGCCGCCCTCACGCTCCTCCCTGTCCTGCCCACAGGGGACTCGTGGGGGATGCTCGCGTGCCTGTGCACCGTTCTCTGGCAGGTCCCTGCGGTGCCAGCCCTCAACCGCACAGGAGACCCGGGGCCCGGCCCCTCCATCCAGAAAACCTATGACCTCACCCGCTACCTGGAGCACCAGCTCCGCAGCTTGGCTGGGACCTATGTGAGTATCCGGGTCGCTCAGGGGCTGGCAGTTGGGTGGCGAACGGGGATGGGGGAAGAGAGAACACCAAGAGAGCGGGGGTCCTGGTAAATGACGGGGTGATGGGCAGGGGCTTGGGCTCCCAGCAGTCCCCCTGGCTGGCCCATCTCCTGCCCTCCCTCTTGGCGAAGGTGCCCCCTCCTCCCCATCCCTGGCCCCAGGACTAGGCATGTGGGCAGGCCTCGCACCCGCCTTGGCCCGCTGCCGCACTGGCTGCCGGCCCGGCCGCCCGCCTCCCCCTGAGGGCCGGGGAAGTCTCCTCTGTTTACACCGTGTTGTGGTGTTTCTCGCCCGGGTGGGGCTGGGTGGGGCTGGAGGGCCCCACCCCCCATGCCTGTGTTCCAGCTCGTCTCTGCCCCAGACCTGGGGCCCTGCTGCCCCGGACCCATGGGCCTCCCTTCTGTCTGCCTCTCCCATCCTAGTTGGGCCTCCTAAGGGGGACCTGGGGAGAAAAGGGGGCTGTAGGGAACCCCGGCCAGGAGTGGCAGGGGGGCTTGGGGTGCGGATGGAAGCTATGCCATAAGGATCTGGGTGTGGTCCGGAGGTGCTCAGAGAGCCCAGGAGAGAAGGGAGGAGGGTCGGGGTTGCCGAGGACCGTGGGGAACTGGCCCCTCTTCCCGTGTTCCTCTTCCACATCCCAGACCCTACTCTGGAGCCAGGGAAAGCAGGGGGAGGAGGGTGACGGGGGAGCTGGCTCCAGCCCCAGGATACACCGAGGAAATTAGTTTGTCTCTGAGCTTGTCAGCGTGTGAACCTCCCCCCTGGGCCCTTGCCTATCCCAGGCCTCGCCTCTTGCTTCTCCCTCTCTCTCCCAGCTGAGCCGGCTCCCTCGCCCTCTCCCTGGGCCCCAGGCCTCTCCCCTGAGGGTTGGCAAGGCTGTGTCCTCTTCCCTAGACTGTCTTCATACCCTTCCTCCTGCCCAGCTCTTGAGATGGCCCGTTTCTGCCTCCGGCAGCCCTGCGCCTCTGAGCCCTTCTCTGGGGGGGCGCCTCAGCGAGGACCGTGGCCCCTGCCCTCCAACGAGTGGCCCAGGCTCGTCAGGGGCAGGCGTAGCTTGGGTGCTCCCGGGCCCTCTGCCTTCCCACCCGCGCTCTCTGCCTTCCCGTCCAGGAAACCTCTGCTTGACTCTGCTGCCCGCTCCAGCTCCCGACCCTTTTTCTTCCCCGGGCTTTCCCTGCCAGAGTCCCTGAAGGAGTGGTCTACAGCCTCTGCCTCCACTTCCTCTCCGCCCACTCAGGCCTTAACCCCTGCAGTCCGGCTTCCAGGCCACGGGGGCGGTTCTCTCCACGGCTGGCAGGCACCCCGTTGCTGCCGAGCTGGCGGTGCTCCTGAGACTCACTCTCCTCGCCCTCTGTCTTGCAGCCCTGCTGCTGAGCCCTGCCGCCTTCTCGAGCTCCTCTGCTTGGCTCTGGACTCCCTGGTCCACCTTCACCTCTGTGGCCTGGCCTCCTGGGTCCTCAGGGCTCCTCTTCCGCTCTGCCCCGCCCCGCGGGCGCTCTCCCAAGGCGTGTGCTCTCAGCCCATCAGCGCGTCCTTCCTGAGTTTCTCCTGCGTGTTCTTCTCTTTCTGCACTTCTCCATAGGGGAGCTCATCGCCCTCGTTGCTTCAGCTGTCACCTCCATGCCAATGACATCCCTGGAGAAACTTAGGGGATGCCTAGCATGGAGACGGGGCCAGTGTCAGGGGACGCAGGAAATAGAAACTTTGGGGGCGAGCATCTCCCAGCAGGCCAGCAGGCTCCTCCGCCCCCCTCCTTCCCCATCGTCCTCTCCTTTTCACAGCTGAACTACCTGGGCCCCCCTTTCAACGAGCCTGACTTCAACCCCCCTCGGCTGGGGGTGGAGACTCTGCCCAAGGCCACTGTCAACCTGGAGGTGTGGCGAAGCCTCAACGACAAACTGCGGCTGACCCAGAACTACGAGGCCTACAGCCACCTCCTGTGCTACCTGCGGGGCCTCAACCGCCAGGCCGCCACGGCCGAGCTGCGCCGCAGCCTGGCCCACTTCTGCACCAGCCTCCAGGGCCTGCTGGGCAGCATCGCGGGCGTCATGGCAGCTCTGGGCTACCCGCTGCCCCAGCCTCTGCCCGGGACTGAGCCCACCTGGGCCCCTGGCCCTGCCCACAGTGACTTCCTCCAGAAGATGGACGACTTCTGGCTGTTGAAGGAGCTGCAGACCTGGCTCTGGCGCTCGGCCAAGGACTTCAACCGACTCAAGAAGAAGATGCAGCCTCCGGCCACCGCGGTCACCCTGCACCTGGAGGCCCGTGGCTTCTGATCTCTGACCACCCTCTCCTCCCCCTCCTCCTTCCAGCCCTGCTCCCACTCTAGGAGGGAGAAACGTGTACACCAACACTTCTTGAGCCAGGAGACAGAAGCCGTGAGCCTCTAGCCTCCCTGGACTTGGAGGAGGGTGTGATGCAATAAGGCCCATCCCCTCCTGGCCTCCCTAAGTCCTACGGGTCTGAGGAAGAGGTGCAATAGGCCCCATCCCATTTCCAGAGGACATCATGCCCAAGGGCACCCAGAGTGGCTGCAGTCAGTGTGAAGCTCTTGGAGCTTCCTGCTTCCTGCCCACCACTTGCCAGCGCCCACCCAGCCCCTCAAGTGGCACTTCCAGGAAGCATGCCTGTAGGGCAGGGACAGGGGGGCACCATCACATGTGCCTTTCTGGGGTGAAACCCTTTGGCTGCCCTGCTCTCCTTAGATGGGTGTTGCTCACCCACCCCTCAAACAACTCAATACATCCAGTTCAGGAAACACACAGTGGCCAAGTCCAGATGCAAGAGATGTGATGAAAAATGGAAAAGGTGGGGTCTGCAATGGAGGTAATACTGAAAGCAGAGGGGCAGGGACAGACTGGACCCAGGGGCCACCAAGGCGATCCGTGGCACAGGGCATCATCCAAAAGGACACTGCCTTGAATTTTCTTGCCAGCTTCAGGGCGCCTCCCCTCTGCCCCCTTTCCCAGGGTATCTGTCGGTTGCCCAGGCTGGGGAGGGCAGCCACAGCCACAGCCACAGGATTTCCTGAAAGTTTACATTGCGGTAGCATTTTGGGGTACGGGGGCAGCTCCCCTAGGCCCTGCCCCCCAGCCCCACCCAACTCATGACTCTTTTAAGTTTGTTGTATTAATATTTATTTATTTGGAGATGTTATTTATTAGATGATATTTATTGCAGAATTTCTATTCTTGTATTAACAAATAAAATGCTTGCCCCAGAACGTCATCTCTTGCTTGACCGTGCCCCACCCCTGGCTCTCATCCATGTTCTTCTGGCTTTCCCTCTGCCCACCCCCAGCCCTAGGCTCCCACACCTGCTGATGGAGGGTCACAAGCCCAAGGGTTAGCTCAGGAGATGCCAAGAGCCGGGGAAGAGGCTCTCTCCCTTGGGTCCACCGGGAAGACACTCCTGCCTCTCACCCACCCTCTTCTCTTATTGTTTAGTCCCTCAGTCGTGTCTGACTCTGTGACCCCGTGGACTGCAGCAGGCCAGGCTTCCCTGTCCTTCACCATCTCCCTGAGTTTGCTCAAGACTCACGCCCATTGAGTCAGTGGACTCAACCATCTCATCCTCTTTCATGCCCTTCTCCTTTTGCTTGCAGTCTTCCCAGCATCAGGGTCTTTTCCAGTGAGTTGGTCCTTCAAATCAGGTGGCCAAAGTACTGGAGCTTCAGCTTCAGCATCTGTCCTTCCAATGAGTATTCAGGGTTGATTTCCTTTAGGATGGACTGGTTTAATCTCCTTGCTGTCCAAGCAGTCCTCCCAAGTATCTTCCCCTCTGTCGCTTCCCTTCCTCCTCCCGGCCTTTGCTCCCTTTGCTCACCTCACTCTCCTGGATCGCGTTAGTGGTCCCATAGGTCTGTCCCTGTGCAAAGCTGTCTATCTGCCCTCTGGCACTCTCTCCAGGTCCCTCAGCTTCCCCAGGACCCCCACCTGTGGCTGCCTGTCCGAGCCCCCCTGCAGTGACCCTCACCTTATAGATACTTTTCATCCCCTAGGAAGCGCGACAGAGAGGCCAAGTCACAAGCCTCAGCTGTGATTCTACACTTTGCTCTTCAACATAAAATTAATAGAGGACAGAGAACAACTCACACTGCAATGCAAGCAAATAAGACAGATGCTGTTCAAGGATGTTGTTGTCGTTTAGTTGTTCAGTCATATCTGGCTGTTTGCAACCCTATGGACTGTAGCCTGCCATGCTCCTCTCTCCATGGGATTTTTCAGGCAAGAATACTGGAGAGGGTTGCCACTACCTTCTCTAGGGGATCTTCCCAACTCAGGAATCGAAGCCTCGTCACCTGCTTGGCAGACAGATTCTTTACCATTGAGCCACCTGGGAAGCCCCAGTCGAGGATGACCTAAGCTCAAATTCCAGGTCCATAACCTACCAGCTGGGTGACCTTGGACAAATGATTTAAAGCTGTCTATTGTCCAGTTTCCCCATCTGTAAAATGGGTAAAATTAACACCCTTATAAGAATGTTGGAAGGGATAAGAGACACAATGAAGGTAAGATGCCTGGCTGAGGCACCAACGATCCATAGTCACAGATGACTGAGGTCAGCATATCAGGATACTCTGGTGAAGAGCCGCTGGGTGGATCAATGGGCTAATTGTTCCCAGGTAATACGGGGATATTTTACCAGGGTCTCTTGCAGACAGTGCCCTAAACGAAGGGAGTAACAATGAGGGTGATGTCAACCAGTTGACAGATATTTTGAAGACCTAATTACCTGCCCATCACTGTGTTAACTGGTGTGGGAACGCCAAAAGGAGGCCAGGACCCGACTTGGCTGCTGCCCTTATAGAGCCTGCAATCTCTCTGGGAAGAAACTGGGCTCGCCTGAACCCATAAGGAACAAAAGCACAGAAGCCTGCCCTTGCAGATAGACCCTGGAGGTGGTGACAAGTGCAGAGTCACCGGAAGCAGGAGATCTGGGAGTACAGGTGCAGGAGCCACGAACCTGCTTGTGGGAGGGGAGAGCTGGGCGCTGTCAAAGGTCCCTGAATCACCTGACCCAAGTGGGGAGGACACACCCACCCTGAGGGGTCCAGGCATGACCAGGGACACCTGCAGGTCCCACCACCCGCCAGCCTAAGGAGATAGAAAGAAAAGGGCCTCTGGGCTGTCTCCATGCAGAGGTTGTTTTGTGAGGCACCAGGCAAGGGGCTAAACAGGATGCAGGCTGAAGGAAGGTGCTTCCCTCCTACTGTGTGCTTCCTGGGGGCAGATTCGAGTCTTCCCCAATTCCCTCTCCAGCACACAGCTCAGGCTCAAGCTCAAGCCCAAAGGTGTTCAGTTAGCGTGTGGAACGAAACGATCCAGGAAAAGGGACCAGCCCCCGCCCCATCCCCACCCTCTGCCAAATGCTAGAATCCAAGGCAGAATTTGATTAAGTGCAGAAAGACGCAGGCGAAATACTATTGGAAGGAAGGAGTGATGGCATCCAGGCGGGCGAGGGCCCTACTGGTCTGTGAGCTCCACTGGGGAGGAAGTGGGGTCTGCAGTCTCTGTAGTATTCCCAGCACCCAGGACACAGCGGGTGCTCCTGAGGGGGATTTGACACTGTTCCTGGAGGGTGGGCAGGACCAGGGCTGGTTGTGTCCACCTCCTTTTTAACCAGGTAGTATCTTGAGGGCAGGCTCCACCGTGTATTCACTGTTGTATGCTTGAAGCATTTTCCCACAATGATAAAGTACTTGATGATCTGATTTGAAGAGCGTCAAGACAACAGTACGTGAAAAGCCAAGAGAAGAGCATTTCAAGGAGGCAGCCCCAGGAGATTGGAGAGGAGATGTGGGGAGAAACTGCACTGGCTTTGGTCACCAGGGAGTCATAGGTCAGCTTTGCAAGAGCAGTTGAGACACTGAATTGTGAGATTAAAGAAGGAGGTGGTAAGAAGGAAGGTGGAAGAATAAACCTATTCCCTCCGGAGTTTAGTGGCACAGGGAATATCTAGAGCGAGCGGCAGGATCACGGGAGGTGTTTTGCTTGGGTGGTTTGCTGTGGGTGTTTTTACCTGCAGGAGGTCAGGACATGTTGTTGCTGTGTGGGGGGTGGTGGGGGAGAAGGACTGAGAGGTTTGGGGGATGGAATCAGGGACAGGCAGGGGAGAGTCAAAAGGTCTGCTGGGGCAACAGTTAGGTCAGCCAACACTTCTCTGCTGTGGACTCATCGGAAGGATTGTGACTTTCTCTGACATTTCCTAGCGAGCCAGAGGCGGCCAGAGAGGGCGGACAGAGTGAAGAGAGGCTATTTCCCAAGGCTGAGAACTGGCAAGGCAGGAATGGCAGAGAATCAAGGGGTGAGAGGCTCTAGAGGGCTAGAGAGTGCATGTTGAGTGGCTGTGAGCTGGTGAGTTGTGTGCAGGGGTGCTGGGCAGGGAGCAGAGGGAAATGGTGGCAGGGGGCAGGCAGTGGACACAGGAGAACCCAGCCAGAAAGGGCATTTTCCCCCAAATAGTTCCTTACTATGACATCAGGGCTGAGTCTTTCCTTCGGGTTTGGCCCTGTGGACCATGGGCAGGCAGCTTCTGACAAACCACAGTTCATCAGGCTTTTCTGTGAATGGGTTTGTCATGGGTTCTCCATGCACAGTTGCTTCAGGAGAGGTGATGAATTTTCACTGGTTACCTTCATTAGTTAGCGTCGTTGGTTATCTCATGTTCCACCTCTTAAGTATGATCTTATAGCCAGAGTGGGGAACAGTGGAAACAGTGACAGGCTTAATTTTTTCAGGCTCCAAAGTCACTGCAGATGGTGACTGCAGCCATGAAATTAAAAGACACTTGCTCCTTGGAAAAAAAGTTATGACCAACCTAGACAGCATATTAAAAAGTAGAGACAATACTTTGCCAACAAAGGTCCATCTAGTCAAAGCTATGGTTTTTCCAGTGGTCATGTATGGATGTGAGAGTTGGACCATAAAAAAGCTGAGTGCCAAATAGATGCTTTCGAACTGTGGTGTTGGAGAAGACTCTTGAGAGTCCCTTGGACTGCAAAGAGATCCAACCAATCCATCCTAAAGGAGATCAGTCCTGAATATTCATTGGAAGGACTGATGCTGAAGCTGAAACTCCAATACTTTGGCCACCTGATACGAAGAACTGACTCACTGTAAAAGACCTTGATGCTGGGAAAGATTGAAGGTGGGAGAAGGGGACGACAGAAGATGAGATGGTTGGATGGCATCACCGACTCAAGTGACATGAGTTTGAGTAAACTCATGAGTTGAGTTGGTGATGGACAGGGAAGCATGGTATGCTGCAGTCCATGGGGTCGCAAAGAGTCGGACACAACTGAGGGACTGAACTGAACTGATAGGCAGAGGCCCAGGGAGGCAGAGGTCAATTTAAGAACCTGAAACACAGGGCCCTGCAGTTACCACGGGGTGGGGTGGGGGGGAGGGCATTACCTCTAGACCTCCTTCTATCCCTAGGAAGGCTAGGGAAGGTGGGAGGGAAGGAGAGAAGGCCCTCTTCCCTGTCACCCCCCACCCCCAACAGCACATGAAGAAGAAATCTCACCCCCATCTTGGGTGCCTGTGAACACACCTGTGTTTGAGAGGATGTCTACCAGATGGAGAACTGTGACTTGGGCGAGGCAACGTTCGGGGTGGGGGAGCGGGTATAGTAGACTCTGCTGGGAGGTAGCAGAAGGGTAGTCATGCTTTGCCAGCTTCCTGCTTTTGCAAAGGCTGACCCATATCTAGGACTTCGGTCCCCCTTGGTATGTGGGGAGACTCATTCAAGCACCCGCTCTCACACAAACACATATTCTTCACCCACTTGCCACAGTGGAGGGGGCCAAGGGAGGCCCTTGTTCCTCTTAACCTAGAGGGCAAGGGCGATGATCCCGGCCTAGCTGAGCGCTCTGACGGGTGGCTCCCTCTCAACTCCCCCTTATTCTCTGGAGCCACAACTGTCCCTGCCTTTGTCCCTTCAAGTCTTGAGCACCCTGACTCAGCCTGTTTCCCCAGTTTCCCAGCAGTGGACAAAGCCCTCGTCAGTGGGGTGGGGGTGGAGGTGGGGGCAGTGAGGGAGTCACTGTGAGCTTTAGAACCAGAGCTACAGCCCTCTCCCCAGCCTTCAGTGTCTCTCAGCCTTCCTAGTTCAGAGGTCACCTCTAGGCCCCCTCCCAACCTGGCCCTCATCTCCACAAGGCCAGGCTGATGGGATGGACGTGAAGGAGGACCTTCCTCCCAGCTGGACAAAGTCTGACAC